GTTGGTTGCCATGGGTACCAGGGGGGGGGCCTGGTGTCGTTGCAGACATCCTGGCATCCAGTTTATTGGGTGAGGGGACTGTGACGATTTGTTAATCTAATGAATAACTGATTTGTTAAATCAAATGAAAAATTGTGTGTTTGATTGGTCCAGACGCTACAGCAAATACTATAGTTGTATCTCGTCAGTCTCCCACTATCATCTCAAGCAACAATCATATCAGTGCTCGCCGGGCTAACATGCAGGTAAATTTGCTTGAAATCTCAGTGTGGTGGTATGTTATGCACTGGAATCATATTGGGTATTATTAATGGGAATATTTCACAATCCACAATGTTACATTTTAATGGTGAAAAAGTAATTAAGGGACAATTAATTAATTAAGTGACAGTAAAGACAATTATAACGCTCATCTCAACTTCCTCTCCTGTTCTCTGTAAAACACTTAACGGTGTTATTGAATTATTTTCATAATCACTAATTACTTCACATATGAACCAAAGATCCGCACTAAAACTTTTTTAAATCTGCTAGTACATTTTATTTTACCTCCTTCACCACCACATGGGAAACTCAAATGTTTCGGCTCTATGCCTTCTTCAGTGTGTTTGAGTATGGATCTTTGGTTCATATGTGAAGTAATTAAAATTGATTGATGCACCAAAAAAATATAAACGCAAGAGCGTGGTGTAAACAGCTGTGCGGAACATAATTACTAATTTCCCAAAGATCATGAATAAACTGACATTGATTGATTGAAAGTGCCACCCAAACCACTCAACTGCCCTGAAAGAAGCTCTACCCAACTTACATTCTCATGATGTATTACTTACAGTACCACTTACGGCCTCACAAAACTACTGGGGTTACTAAAGATCAAAAGTTCAGTCTAGCATATCCAGTGACTGAGGCACGTCACCCAGGAGAGATGGATGAGACATTCAGACACCACCTTGGAGACCCCTCTATGTGTGATTACCTATATGTGTGCTAGGGATGGAACGATTACCGGTTTCACGATAAATCACGATAAAATGCCCTGACGGTTAGTATTATCGTTTAAAATTTAATTATCATCAAAACCGTATTTGATTATCGCGCTTTTGAAAACTCGCGGTAAATCCTGTCCAGCCAGCATCAGTCTGACGCAGAAGCAGCATGCAGTGTTGTTGTTGTTGTTTTTTT